AACATAACTTCACGTATTCTGAACCCCATGGAGACATCATGGTAGGGCTGGTGAGAGGGAAGGAAGAACTGGAAGGCAGTATGGTAGCTGATCCCAGGGAGCAGCCAACTGGATTCTTAGGAGGAAGTCCCATTTCAGTATCATCAGATATCCCTAGCATTAACTATGTCAATGGCTGGACGACAGCTTTGCTTATGCCTAATCAAGAACTGTAAAGCTCCATTTTAACTGTTGTTCTGCAAAACCTGATATGTGTTTGGGCATTGTCATGAATTCCAGAATAAAGCTTCTGGAACTATTCAAGACAAAAGTGAATGAGATCCAGAACATCACCTTCCTCTCCTTCCCCTGCAGTCTCACCCTCTCTAAATCTACTTCGGACAATTGGGAAACAGTTTAGATTAGAAAAATTTCTATTTGCAGTGTTGGATTCTTCCTGTGTGTGCTTGAACTCCTTCATACAGCATGTTTTATTTCACTAATCTGCATTGTTTAATTTGCTTTTGCTAAAAATGCATCCAATGCTATACCAGTGAAGTTCTGGGACTTCTGTTTCCTTTCCTACCCCATGCACTCCAAATATATGCTTTGAAGGGTCCCCCAACATACTAGAGTTGATTTTGATAGGCTGCAGGGGGTTGGAGAGAAAAAGGAAGCTCCTTTGCAGGCATGGAAGTCCATCACAACAGAGGAGCTGCAGTTACATAAAGCCCTCTGTTTTGAAGCTACTTGGTTAAAGCCTGCACAAGCTTCAGTTCCTATGATTCTTGTTCAATATAACATTTCCGAGCAAGTTCAAAAACATCTTCAAGGTTCAGAATAATTATGGTTTCCAAAAACTCCAGTTCTAATTATATATTTTTAAAGAAATTATGTTTCTGAACATACTTAGAAGCATTTTTTATTTCAGCACTTCAGAACGCTTCTGATAGGAGCAGAAGGGAGCATATTTCACTATTTCTGTTATTCTACCTCCATGTAAGCAAAGGTGATTTAAATTTACCCCACCTCTTCCACTCACCTTTGCTTGTAACGCAAAGGATGATCAGGTTTTAGCAAGTGGGTTTTTGCATGTCTTCTTTCAGGTTTTTACAAGTCCTCAATGGAAATATTCACAAGAACCAGATTATTTTTTAAGCCAAACAGAGGGATGTTTTTGGATCCCTAATCAGCCATCAGGTGGAATTAATCAATTAAAACTTTAATAAGAGATTTAAAATGCATACTAATTCATTAGGAAATTAATTACTAGAAGAGAAATGGAGAAAGATGAAAAAAATGTATATCCCAGTTATATGAGGTTTGAATGCACACTTCTCCCATTTGTATTGTAAAAAATGCTCACATATATCAACTTTGAAAAAAATGAATAACATGAAAACTAAAGAGCATTTTAATTGTCTCAAAAACTAGTCACTTAAACTCACAAATCTAAGTCTGTACAAATATTTCTGGCTTGACATGACTGAGGAAGAATAGCCAATATGACTTCCTATTTTTAAAATAGTGGCAGCTTTTTCTTTTTGACATCTCACATAAGTAAAACTTTCCTTAAAGTTTTCCTTTAAAAACAGGGGACATTTATTGATGTATTGCAATGTATACATTTAATGAGTTATTTATCAGATTAATTAGTTCAAAAGTAGCCTAAGAATTATTTGGCTAAAATGTTTTTTTTATTCAACATACTAGACAACAAGGTAATCAAAAAGCAGAATGTAACCTTTACAATTCAATTTATTGAAAAGAACATACTGTATTATAATAATAGGCATCTGTTTGTTGTTTTGTGTAACTTGAAAACAAGCTATTGCACTCCATGTAAAACTTTTCTAGTTTTTCTTAAAGACCAAAACCACATAAATTGTCTTCTTTGGAAATGCAGTATGTGAGTGCTACGAGTAAATGAAGGTTAACTGTTCTACTGACAACAGGGAGGACTACTTATCCATTTGTAAAATCTCTGTGGTACAATGATGTGACCTGTGGCAATAGGTTAGACCTAATATTGTTTAGAAGACCAAGCTATTGCTCTATCGGTCTGGACATTCCTTTTCCTTCCAGAATGTTTTTCTCCTCCCTTTCCATTAGCTGCCACACCTGATATGTTCACTGTTCAGAAGCCAGATCTGGCTTGGCAGCTGAACGATTGGAGTACTTTAGTGAAAATGTGCATTGAAATCACCTCTTTCAGAAGAGATCTCTCTAATAACAGTATCCATAAGTAATAGGCTTCAGGAAGAAGAAGAAAAAACATAAAGACTATTGATACTAGCTTGTATGGTTTCCATTTGACAGAGTACATAGCAACTGAAATCACACTACTGTATGCTTTAAAAATCAGGACCCCCCCCCAAAAAAACACACACACTCACAGCTGTAACTTTGGTAATTGATACAAACATTTCTTCTTGTTTTTTAACTAAAGTAGCGCTCTGAAATTTCTGATTCTCCAGAGTGACTAGCTTCTAAAAGTTTCCCTCTATATGTCTGTACAGTACAAATTGCCCTACAGCTGAACACAGACTCCACCAAACAATACTTAGTGGACTGCACAAGTGTCTTTGTCAAATGACAAGGTTACCTTTCTTTCCCCTTGTTCTTCATGGCTATACAGATGACTGCATGAGAGTTTCCGTAACAGTATAATGCCAGACAGGCATTACTGGTAGGTGAGTGTAGTTTTGTTTACTGTGTGCTCTAAAATGTTTCTAGATAACAGCTCTGTTTGTCAATGACGCAGCGGGGAGCAAATGAAAATGTTTATTCAGACCCTTCAGCAAAAAAAGAAGTGCATTAATCCACTCACTGGTAAGATAACACAGCAGAATGTCCTCTGTTAGGAGGCAAAAACTATAGGATTACTTGCCCATTATGGACAATTCTTTGCTTGCAACACTTTGTGACACACGGATTCCAACGAGTTCTGTTGCAATCATATAGACTGCAGTAGGTGGAGCCTGATGTCAACAGTGGGCATGCTAAATCAACAGTGGGCATGCTAAATAAGGGGTGCTAAATCCTTACCATCACTGTAGCTCATTGCCCCAAAGCCTTTCTCTCCTAGTCAGTTTTTCCATCAGTCACACTCTAAGAGTGGAAGTTATCCCAGCTGGGATAAAAGTGTAGCTGAGGGGAGGAAAGTAATGTTTGGAGAAGGATTTAATATACTTCACATGTGAATCCTTCTGTTATTAAAATTGCACCTTTACCCTCCACCATTTCTACAGTTAAATACACAGGTCTGCTACGGTCACACCTGCAAATGATTATGTTGTAGTTGGCAGTTTGCCCTAGGACCAGGATGGTCTGAGTTCAAATTCCCAATCAGCCATGAAGCTCACTGGGTGACTTAAGACCAGACAGCAATTTTGATTCTAACTTACTGTACAGAGTTGCTTTGCAGGTAGGTAGGAAAATAACCATGTGTGCCATCTTAAACTCCTTGGATTAAAGATGGGTCAGATAATAATAAGTATGTTGGCTCTTAGACATCAAACTAACTTTTCTACAAAAGGTATCAATTTAACCTAAAACTACAAGAAAGAACAGTAGGCACTGCTGCGGTCAGTAAGTGAAGTCTAAGGCGACAGATGTTGACAATTTTTTTTTTCCCATTTTAAAGCATCCTCAAAGTGGAATGTATTACATGTAAATATTTGTTTTGATCTTTTATTTAATTGGAGATAAAAATCTCTCAAAATTTCTGCCCCGCTACTTGCATATGGAGATTTCCTAGAGCAAAAGCTGTGCAGTTTTTTTACAAGAATCTGAAATAAAGTCCACTGACAAATAACAAAGAATATTACTCATTCACACATTAGTTTGGTTGAAGTTTGGTTTAAAAATATATCTAATAGAATGGGAAGAGAGGGCTGTTCCTTCAGACTTGGCTCTTTTCCATGCACTTTCCCAAAGAAATTTTTAAGTGTCAAAAATACATATCTTGTGCTCATTATTAAATGCTAAATACCACAGTGTTTTGAGCTGCCTTGTGGCCATTGTAAAGAAAACAGGTGTTCTGATAGATTATAAAGTGTGAGTCAGATGATGTGCAGAACAGAATTTTAATGAAGCTGCTAGCACAGAAGTCTGACTAGCCTTTTTAACATGATGCTAAAACACTGGAAGTAGTCTTTAAGAGACAAGTAACACAACTCAAAATCCTCACTGATATACACGAAATGGAAAGATATAGGAAGTCATTGAGGCAATCACGGTTAAAACAACCAGACATGGATTATGGCATGGGAAGTAGAAACAGAAGTTTGCTTTCTAAAAAGAGACTAGATGACAAATTAAGCTAAGGCAGTGTGAAATGGGGGGGGGGGGGAGAGAGAAGAGCAAAAGGTTAGTGGGAGAAAATTGCAAAAGTGTGTGTGGGGGGGTGTTATTGATGACTGCTAATTCTAAAGTCACAATAGTATCCTGCAGTTTAATACATCCGTCTTGTTAATGTATTTTGATCCTCTGTGATAACTGTGTAGGACATATCTGACTAGTAATTTTAGCAATATACAAGAAAGAGCCACTTGCAACGTGTTATAATTGCTCCACCTCACCTCACAACCCTCCACCTCCATTTTCATGACTTCTTACCCTCATTCATGACTTCACCCAACTCTAATTACTTTTATTAGAATAACTAGTTGCACATTTAATGAAAGGTTATTGTCTACCTATGACTTCTTGTGAAGCATACAAGCAGAATGTCAACATTATAATTCTTCAAACATTGATGGTGTAGTTTGATTAACTTGTTATGCATCCTAGAGCTCCTTCCTACACACTCGAAGACATATGTTGTTTATTTCTTAAACTTTAAAATGTATAGATTTTTTTAAACTTAGATTTCAGTTACATGTTTTGAAAATCAGCATGCATTTGAGTTCCTGACCATGATTCAAATATCCTCTTTAGGCATGAAAACGGTATTTAACATGTTTTTTAGGTCACTTATAGGACAGAACTGTTGGGTTGAAATCACGACAGACGAATGGTGGGTGTCAAAGGAGAGACGTCTGCCCGGGGCAAGTCCCGGGGACTCTCTTTTATTGAATATTACAAACATTGCCACAGGTGTGCTTGTGGCTGATTGGCTGATACAAACACAAAGCATCTTGTTGCTGATTGGTTAACATAGGTACAAGGCGGGCATTACATTTTTACATTAATCAGTGATAGTTCAAAAGACTGGGAGCGGAGCTGGAACTAGACAGGCATGAATCCTCCTAATTAAATTGTAACTAAGATTAATATAACATGACTAAAACAATTACTAATGATTGATCATAAGTGAAAGGTCCGTATATGTGGTCAGCTATGCATTGAGAACAGAGCATGTTGATTTTTGTACGTGAACTCAGAATGAACTGAAGAATTGAGGGAATGTCTTGGGTGTCCTGAGCTTGGTGTGTTTGGAACAGTATGTGCAGAGCAGAAGGAGACTTCCCAGAATCCAAGAGGAAAGAAGCAAGAGTTTTCATAGTAAGCATAGAAAGATTGCATAGTAAGAGTTCCCATAATGCCACAGTTATGTGCAGTAAGAGAACTGCAGAAAGAGAACTTCCCTTCATCTCCCCCTTTCTTTTCTTGTTTGCGAGGCATTCCAGGTGGATAAGGCAAAAATACTTCGGGATTAGTGGTGTGCCAGCGAATGCCCGAAATAAGCCTGCCAGGGTTGGTGGGACAAAAGTACTTCAGGATACGTGGTTTGCCAGCGCATGCCCAAAATAAATCCGCCCACATCTCCCCTAAGGTTCACTGTTGGTGTTGCCATTTCGCAATGTAAGCAGCAAGCAGTTTGCTGGGTGGTGGAGGGGAGAGAAGCCGAGAGAAAAGACTCATGAGGCTGGGAACGCATTGGAGGAAACAGCATAGTAAAATAAAAATAGAAATTATGAAAATAGCATATTGAAAGAGACTACGAAGCCAAGTAAGGTTAGGCAACCAAGCAGTAAGCCACTGGGTGAAAGAATCCCAGAGGCCAGAAAATCCAACGTCCTGTTTAATGTGATGTGTAAGATTTTGCAAATGAGAGATTTGGCTTTGAATGGCTCTAGAATTGTCAGTAATATTGAAACAGCACATGTCATTCACTTGTTCACAGCCATAATGATGAAGCATCAGCAAGTAATCTATCGCGGCGCGGTTCTGTAAAAGCCCATGCTGGAGTTCACTTTGCTCTTTATTCAGAAGGTGAAGGGCTTGAGAAGTATAGTTCAGCGCTTTGCTGCAGAACAAGCTAGAGAGTTAATATTTCTACTATTGCGTACAGCCAATCCAGGAACTCCTAAGAGAGAGACAGCTAAGGAGATATATTCAGATCTACTGGGAAGAGAAATTGAATCATCACAATCATTAGTTAATTCAATAGAGCGGCGATGTCGAGAAGGGGTCAAATGATGCTTTTGGGTAATACAATAGACAAACGGCTTAAGCAACAGGGTGTTCCATGGCTGATGTTTGCAGGAATGTAATTAAATGTATAGCCAGGACACGACCAGAACCAACCCGCAGGTAGTTCTGTGTATTTATACAGATAGGAAATATTTACATAATCAGAGCAGTGGAAATTATCAGTGCCCATTTTCACGCAGTTGGCTTTTGTGCAATTCACCATACGGGCGCAAGTGACATTAAAGGAAGCCACGTATGGGGTCGATAAATCAATGGCCAAAGATGGGCGGCGGCGCACTTGGTTACCCCAGACATAATAACCGGAATAACCAAGGGTGCGGAGAGAATCATTTGTGGGTAGGGATGAGAAAAACCAGGTATCATTTTGTATATCAAAAGGGTCATGGCAAACAGGGATAAGGCAGGAGCCAAGAATCTCCCCTATAGATACCTGTTGGGTAAGGCAAAAGGAAGAAATATTGAGTGTCTTTGCAAAAGATTCCCACACATTTGTAGGTGCGTGGGTGTCACTAGTAGGAGTGGAAGCAGAAAGAGGCAAAAACAAAGCAATGAGAATGAGCACTGTCATGGAATTAATGTTAAGGCAGGAAATAACACACAGAAGCAAATTCTCAGGGGTTGCTTCAAGCTGCTTTTCCTTTCTAAGCTGTTCAGCCTGACATGAGAGTGATTTTATTTGGCCCCAAGTCACAGGTCCATTACGATTTCCCCGCTTGCGAGTCCTGGGGGGGCTGGGCGCTGCGGCCTGGGCGATCCGTAGTGTGTGGTCGAACTGCGGTACTGGATTCGGGAGGGACTGTCGCCATGCCATGGTATAGGCGGATGCAGCGTGCGGGAACCCAGCGAGGACCCTGTGGAGTAGACACTGCAGCGTAACCCTTTCCCCAGGTGATCAGTTTTACGGGTTCACTCCACTCGTTGGAGGGTAATATCTTATAGCGGACCAGTGGGGCTGGGAGTATCTCTGTTTGCTGAAAATGCTTCTGCAGGCGAGTATAAGATTGATGATCCTGTATGGAAACATTCAAATGGTTGAGAGTAAAGAGAACACTGGCCAGCCAGCCTTCCTTTTCGGAAAGGGAGGCTGGGACACCGGCCTTCTTTTCCTGGCGTTGTAGAGCAGTTTTTAAGGTACGATTAGCCCTTTCGACGATGGCTTGGCCTTGAGAATTGTAGGGGATGCCAAATAAATGGTGAATATTCCAAGTTTCACAGAACTGAGCAAAGGTTTTTGCACAGTACGCTGGGGCATTGTCAGTTTTCAGGGAATGAGGCTTGCCCATGACTGACATGGTACGAACAAGATGATTGCAGACATGTTTAACTTGTTCTCCCCTTTGAGGGGTGGCCCAAATAAAGCCAGAGAACGTATCAACACAAACATGTATGAACTTCCAAGGTGAAAAAGGGGCGAAGTGAGTTACATCCATTTGCCACAATTGGTTGGATGCCAGCCCACGGGGATGAAATTTGGATTTGGCAGACCACATTGTAAAGGCCCCATGGGTTCAAGGATTTGGTTTATTTTCCTTAAATCCTGGAGAAATCTCCATTTGCCACTCTTCTTTTTATGACGAAGATGGGTGTATTATAGGGGCTAACTGAAGGCTCAATATGATCTGCCGATAATTGTTCATTCACTAATTGCTTTAAAGCAAGTAGCTTTTCTCCTGTTATGGGCCATTGTTCCACCCATACAGGAGTGGTAGATTTCCAGCTGAGGGGAAGTGCAAGCTTACTCATTAAATTGAATGGTAGCTTGTAATTGCTGTAGCAAGTCTCTTCCCCACAGATTGAGGTGGATTTTCAGCACACAGGGCTGGATGTAAGCAATGGTTTCAGAGCTATCAGGCAGAGACACAGGCAGCCACCGTACGCTTTTGGAAGAGGTTTGGGGGCCACCCACACCCCAGACAGCAGAGGCAGACTCAAGGGGCCACGTGGGGTCCCAGCAACTACTAGAAATTACAGAAACGTCTGCGCCTGTGTCAATCAAGCCTTCCAGCACAATACCATTGATTTTATACTTACGAAGAAGTTTCTTCTCACCAATCCTCTGGACTACAGCTAACAGCTGTGGAGGGAAAGAAGAGAGCTCGTGCAAATTAGTATCCATAATAGAAGCAGTAGGATGAGAAGGGAGCACCACCAAATGCGCCCAAGACTCACCCTTTTTAATTGCATGGGCATATGGCTCCAGAGTTGAACCATTATTGTGCCTACATAGTCAGGATCCAGAACTCCAGGAATAACCTGGATGCCTTCCTTCGCCGCAGAAAATTTGGGTAAAATTAAACCTGCGACTTTAGGAGGCAGGGGACCTGCCAATTGAGTGGGCATGAGCACAATTTCACCAGGTAGAACAGAATCTTTGGTCTCTTGATTGATCAAATCAATTGCAAATTCAGAGGGTGTGTTCTTTGAAAAGTTTGCAGCAGCAGAAATTAAAGGCGGAAAGCTCTCTAATTTTCCTGGCCCGAGAGTGGGGCCGCAATGGAGTTTCCCGAACTCCTGCATTGATTAGCCCAATGATAGCCTTTGCCACATTTCGGGCATTTTTTAGAAGGTCTAGCTTTAGAGGTAGAACCATCCTTGTGTGCCCCCCCGCCTGGGGCTCTGCATTGCTTGGCAAAGTGGCCTGGGCGCTTGCAATTAAAGCAGTTACCAGTAGGCTTAGTGGTTGCTTGGATTGCGCCGGCAAGCAAGGACATCGCATGGCTCTGGCTACCGACATCCGCACAAGCTTGAATCATATCGGCCAGTTCATATTTAGGGCGATGTATGATTGACTGCAAAGCTTTCTTGCAATCAGTGTTTGCGTTTTCAAAGGCCAATTTTTTCATCAATTCATTTTGAGCAGTGGTGTTATCAATCTGCCTAGTGACTGATTCTTTCAATCTATCTATAAACTGATGGTATGGCTCCGAATGCTGTTGCTTAATATTTACAAAGGAGCTCAGCGGTTGCCCAGAAACAGGGACTTTCCGAAAGGCGCGTTGAACACAGGTCGCGGTGCGAACAAAATGTACAGGTGTCAGTGTTGCTTGGGCAGTTATATCAGCAAACTGACCAGCACCATAAAGTTCATTGGCAGTATGTTGAGGATCAGACAGGGCTGAAGCGCTATGTTTAAATTCACTCTCAAACACCACATACTGAGCAGGGGACAAAAGCATGCGCATAAGGTCTTTCCAGTCCTGAGGCAGCATAATGTAACCAGTTGCAATGCCCTCTAGCATCCCTGTCACATAAGAGGATTTCAGACCAGAATCAGCAATGGCTTTCCTTAATTCCCTCATTACAGAATAAGGAAGCGATTCATAATAAATCTGCTGTTGAGCAGATCCAGGGTTTGAATAAGAGATAGGGAAAGCAGACGGCATTTCACCTGGCCACTCAGACTCCTCCTCTAAGGACAGGAGCCCATTTTGCCTGGCCAGAGAGAGCGCAGCACGCACAGCTCCTATAGAGCAAACAGGGGCTGTGGCAGGAGGAGGAGGGATGGGGGGGGAGGAATCAGGCTGAGGCGGAGGGATGGGGGGGGAGGATGCAGGTTGAGGAGGGTGAGACGCAGGGAGGGATTGGCTGGGCTGCAAAGGAGAAGGAGGTAAAAGTTTCGGGTAAGGTGGGGATTGTCTGCAATGGCCAGAAGAGGAGACGCCTGGGGTCCCAATTGGGGCCCTAATTTAGCAACGGCATCAGCACATTTCTGCCAAGTGAGCAGACAATGAATCGGAGCCCTAGGTTCTGCAAATGGGTCTTTCCGATCTTTTGCCAAGTCTCTACATCCAAAGATCCAGCCTCTGGATAAGAAATGCATTGGCAATTAATCTCACATAGCAATTGTTCAATTTCTTTTAAGGAAATATTAACACCCACCTCCCGCTGTCTAACTAAATAAAGCAACTCTTTAGCATGCTCTTTCTGGAGCTTAGTCAAGTCCCCTCCCATACTCACGAAGTAGCGCGCTGAGACTTTTCCAGTCGGGTGAAGTATGAGGTTTGGCTGCGTAAGGGATCTGGCACGTCGGGGTCACCAGATGTTGGGTTGAAATCACGACAGACGAATGGTGGGTGTCAAAGGAGAGACGTCTGCCCGGGGCAAGTCCGGGGACTCTCTTTATTGAATATTACAAACATTGCCACAGGTGTGCTTGTGGCTGATTGGCTGATACAAACACAAAGCATCTTGTTGCTGATTGGTTAACATAGGTACAAGGCGGGCATTACATTTTTACATTAATCAGTGATAGTTCAAAAGACTGGGAGCGGAGCTGGAACTAGACAGGCATGAATCCTCCTAATTAAATTGTAACTAAGATTAATATAACATGACTAAAACAATTACTAATGATTGATCATAAGTGAAAGGTCCGTATATGTGGTCAGCTATGCATTGAGAACAGAGCATGTTGTTTTTGTACGTGAACTCAGAATGAACTGAAGAATTGAGGGAATGTCTTGGGTGTCCTGAGCTTGGTGTGTTTGGAACAGTATGTGCAGAGCAGAAGGAGACTTCCCAGAATCCAAGAGGAAAGAAGCAAGAGTTTTCATAGTAAGCATAGAAAGATTGCATAGTAAGAGTTCCCATAATGCCACAGTTATGTGCAGTAAGAGAACTGCAGAAAGAGAACTTCCCTTCACAGAACACTTTCTAGGCAGCATATAAAAATAGAGCAAATACCACATGCACACACACGGGCAGAGCAATCTAAATGCCCCTTAACCTCCTGTGGGCCACCAAATTTTTGGACAGGTGGGCCACTGTCAGGATCTCTACCTCTGAGAGCCAGCAGAAAGCCATTAAATGGAATGTTGTGAGGACAGGGAGAGGCTGAGTGAGCCTGGGATCCAGTAGTTCCCAAGCTGGCCTCACTGCCATCACATGATAACATCGAATCCAGCCTGGAGCCTTCCCCTGTTCAACTGCAGTCTCCATGAGCGGCAAGCCTGCACATTCAGCAGTGGCCCTGCCAAGCTGCAAAGTCCTGTAGAAGGAGGTGAGAAGTTTGAACTGCACCTTTAGGCTGCAATCCTAACTACAATAGGGCTTACCCCAAAGCAGGCATGGTTAGGGTTGCAATGTAAAAGTCAGAAACAGCACTACTATTTGAGCCCAGAAACAAATTGGTAATCAGTGCCAATGATAAAATATCAGAAAATATGCAACATGCATTATGTCCCAGTTAATTCTTTGGCGCCCACATTTTGAAACAACTGAAGTTTCTGGATGTTTTTCAAAGGTAGTCCCATGTGGATGACATTACACTTATCCAAGATGTATGTTACTAAGGCATGAATAGCCATGGCTAGACTGTTTTCTCCAGGAAAGGTCACATATGGTGAACAAATCAAAATCTGCCAAAGCCACTTCTACAACTTTGGCATCCAGTTGCAGTGGCAGATCCAGAAGCACCCCCCCAGCTACAAACTTGTTTCTTAAGGTGGAGTACAACTCCATCCAAAACATGAAACCCACCTAAAACCAGATAAAAACACTCCCAGCCAACAGCACTTCCGGCTTATTAGGATTAAGTTTCACTTTGATCACATTCAGTCTAATACTGCCCCTAAACACCAGCTCAGGGCCTTCTATCATCTCCATAGGATCAGATGAAAAATAAAGAGTTTGTTTAGTATCATTCATTTTTTTGTAACACTTTAGACTAAATTGAAACCAGTAGTTTCATGTAGATGCATAGGAGACAAGATGAAATTTTGTAGAACTCAGTAAGTCAAAAGCCAGGGTGTTGAGCAACCATCTCCAAGCGTGACCCTCTGGACCCTACACTCCACCAAAGCACTGTTGCTGATTAATTTATAACCAACAATCTGATATTTTGATATGGTTTTCCTTAAGATTAGCATGGGTGTGTGGTTGGGCCTTTTGTAGAAATAGCCTGTTCTGTCAATAGGTATTCCTGGCATAAGCTGCCTCACATAATTCATTTTAGATCCCACTGGGCCAATGCTGATTACGGTTTGCATGCATAGTTCTGAGCTTATAGAGCCTATTCTCACATTCCACTAAAGGCATAGGCATTAGAAGCAGGACCAGCAGGCAGACATTAACTGGCACAGGGCAAGTGGTTGCAATCCTGCTCCCCCTTGAGATTTTGTGACAGCATGAATGAAGCGTAAGATCAAAGCTACGGATGAAACGGTAATGACTTTTCTTGCACAGTAACAATTTGTATGATACAAAGGAATAGGACTGCCAGACTTTTTGTTCTTGTTATTCAAATTTGTAACACTTTGGGATGGAACTCTGGCAGACATCAAGACAGATATAT